CCACTACTGCGGTGGGCAACCCAAGAGTACGTCTCAGGGCAGCGCGAGCTGGAGGAGCAGGCCAAGAACAGGCGGGAGACGACCGACGTTGGCATGAAGACAGAAGCCAACTGGGATGAGTTCTTGGGAATGATACATGCTGACGTGGTGCTGCCAAACCCCGATACCGAGCTGACACCACACAGTGATGTGGGTGACGTGCTAGTAGCATGGGAATGTAGTCCGAAAGGAGAGCGAGAGAGACGGAGAAGACAAGGTTACCCTGTGGAACCGTTCTTGAAGTCAATGTTACGTCATCATTGCGCCACTACAGGAAAGGGAGAGAATGCGGATAAAGACATAGTGGGAATTAAAAGGCGCGCGGAGGCAACCTTCCATCTGCCGTCTGTTCCAGGAGGCAAGTGATCCTCATTCGTACGCCCAACAATGCATACGGACCTGGCCGGCATACGGACGAGATGTGCTTCCTGCAAAAAGCAACCTCAAGGCCACGACCAAGAGTAAAATATTTTACGCAACTATTTTCGAAAATGCACTTATTGTGCAGGGAAAGCACTTATTGTGCAGACGTGAACTTAGTGCGTCTTAGAGAGGCCCCAATCGTTCATCAGCCGCAACGGACGCCAGCGATTTACGGAGCCAACGGAAAGCCTCTGTCCATCTCTGGGTATACAATCCTTGAGGTATCTCTACCTCACCTTGAAGAAACTGTGCAAATCTTCGCTTGGGTCACTCCCAGATCCCTGTACCCGTACTTATGGGTAGACCATCAGTCTCTTGAATGGGGCATACAAGGTAATGTCCCTCTTAATGCGCATCTGGTTGGCAACAGTTACCCACTACCCGACATACCCGATACGTTACAAAGGACCGCTCAAGGAGGACCTTCTGGCAACGTCATCTACATAAGGAATTGCCCATGTTTTTAGGATTCCCTAATGACTTGATCAATAGTGCTCTGAAATATAGGAGGGGCAACCTTCAAACCAAATGGCAACCTGGTGTATTCATACAATCCTCTAACAGCGTAAAATGCCGTGAGTGGTCGATTTTCAGGTGCTAGTGGTAGCTGCCACTGGGGAAAAGGAGTCCTGTATAACATGCTACCGCCACGTTACCAGCTTTACATACTCTCGACAGCCACTCACCTTTAGTTCTCGATACGGATGCTTGCCGCCTAAGAGGAATTGGCACATGTCTGTATATTCAGCGGGAGAATGAATTGTTACCTATAGCGTATGCATCGCCTGCTTTCACTAAACAGGAGAGCAGATGGCCCGTAAGGGAACTGGAAGCTTTTGCAGTTGTGTAGGTCATTTTCGTGAACTGCTGCTTGGACGATCACTTACTATTAGAACCGACCATGAATCTCTCCAATGGGTGAAGCACTGTGAGAAGGGCAGAATCGCCCGGTGGAATTCAACGTTGGACGAATTTGAGGCAAGAATAATATACAGAAAAGGTACTGTGGTACATAATGGACTCTTGCTAGTAGCATGGGAATGTAGTCCGAAAGGAGAGCGAGTAGAGCGTAGAGAGACGGAGAAGACAATACTGCAGCATGTAATTTTCCCTAAAGCTCGGAGCGCAACGTATCGGCGCTTATCACACCAGGGGACCATCAGCCAAGAAGAGATAACAAAAACAGAACGGCATGGCTTCTCATTTCTAGTTACTTCAACCTCGTTGTTTCCTCACCGTAGAGATTTGAAGGTGACGTCGCCACCGAGGTCTTTGGTGAGGTAGCGGGCTCTTTTCTTGTCTGCGAGGAGAAACGGTCGAAGAGAACTGTGGCAACTGTTACAAGGTGGACATGAAGTACGACGACGGTACAGACCCCGGTCTTCCCGACCACCCCGGCCCAAGTGGCCCCGACCACCCCTGCCCAGGTGGTCACTACTGCTGCCACCGCGCCTGCTCCGACAACCGGCAACAGCAATGGAGGAGGCGATGTGGTCTCCGGGTGTGTGGCTGCCATCCGTGCTACGCAGGACTGTTGGACTGAAACCTGTCAAGGATACTGCGCCCTGTACGGCCCAGGCGGTGAGTTGAACCTGTGGTGTGGCGCTGCTGTATCAAGCTCCAGTGATCTAATCAAATGCATCAGCAGCCAGCAGCCTTTCTGCTTGTAGGAGGTACACTTCATTTATGTTCGTCTACTTTGAGAAGCAAGGTTTTAATTTATTTTTTTTGATCGATTACTAGTCTAAACAAGAGGCCTCAATAGGTATCAGGAGCTATCCCGAGTATTAAGTATCTGGCTGCTGCGAATAGGATCTTACATGCCACGCTTCCGACACGGCCGCAGGCTGATTTCAGCACGTCAGCTTAACAACATCTTCAATTCCCCCAACATCCCAAAATGTGAATCCTTGGCTTGCACCGAATCAGTTCACAGTCAACCTAACAGATGGTTCATCGCCGTGATTACCGTCAAAAAAAGTCTTGACACCTATCTGGCATTTCCTCTCTCTATCTGCCAGGTATCGAAGGTTGTTGTGATCCGTACTCTGAAACACGTTACGCCCAAAGGCATTCCTTCAGCATGTGATCATGGCGAGCCATACATGTCAATATCATTCCGGTGCGTTAGTACTCTGTCTCAACCACGAACCGGCCATGAGGAGGTCTGTCGGTCAAACGTTTGTGAAAGTTGGAGTGGCTTTGAAACTGTTATTAGCTCTTCCCCAATACTCTATAAGCTCTTTCCTGTAACCACTGATCGTTCTAATCTTGGAGTTGAAGCACTCAAATTTACAGGACTTTGGGGAGTAGCCTAGCGCTTGAAATAAAGAGTAATTCCCTTTCATTTCCTTAGCAGCGACAAAGAAGTCTGTAACATAGCCCCAGGCTACGTCCTCCTCCGACGGGCCCACCGCGTCGGCGTTGAACCGACCTTCGATGCATCGACAGCCTTCCTTGGGTAACTGACAAGCGTTGTAAGTGCCGGAACACCCGGGGTCAGTACGTTGTGAACTAAATGATAATCCTAGCTCGTTGTGTAGCTTTTGCTGCCAGGTATCGGGCAGGTCGGCATTTATCCAGTTGGCTGCAGCCCGTCCACGAACCCGGACATGGAAGTCCAACTGGCGTACGTTCGCGTCTAGCTCTGCGTTGTTTGTGATGAGGCAACGGGAGGGCTTCAGGTAACGGACGACCGCCTCCCAGACTCTCGCGAGATCGTACTTGAACGGATGGTAGAAGTAATGACAACTCAGGTCCTCGCCGCGCTCGTCAACGCAAACCACCTTACCCCCCCAGATACAGCTGGACCAGTCCAACGTCTTCCAGGCATCCGCCGTGGCGCCCACCATTGAAGCGTTCTTCTTGTTATCGTATATGCCCTTACAAGTTTCAGAGGGTATTCTCAGCGACGCCAACTCGTGTGCAGACATCGTTACGTTGCCAGCCCTGGGGTCGGACGCCACGAACTCACAGTCCATGATCAACTCCGACTCGGACCAAGCCTTACAATCGCAAGACACCGCATACTTGTACCGTTCGGCATCGGACAAGCGAGAGAATTGCGCATCGCACAACGATGTGTAGCTGTACGTCGTGGCCTCAGTAATCGGAGTATAGCTTTTCATCGGGGCCTCGCTCCCAGTATCGCTGTACATCATCACCTCGGACGGAGTATAGGTTGAGACTGAAAGAGGATCGAGGATTCTCGACGACTTTGAATCTGGGGTTGTCAAACTACCGGCTTGTTGTCTATAGAGGTGTAACACCCCCCCCTGCTATGACCGCACCACTCAAACCCGTAGCACAGGCAATACCAAGACCTTTGAGAAACCTTGGCCGTCGCCAGAAGCTTCCAGTTTCTTCACGAATAGCCTGGCCCTCGACCTCAATACAATACGCGGCTTGGCCGGAATCCTGAATTACGGCACTCCACTTCGGATATTGCGCCCACAGCCGTTTTTGTTCGTCGTCATCTAGCGGCCTCATATCTATGATCTCCAACTTTGGTTTTTCATCGACGATCTTCGTGTCTTCGATACTGCTTGTGTCCAGCCACTTGATGATCTCTCTGCCAAATGCTCTCTTCAGGGCCGCATTGGCAACGGATGGATTCGCGTCGTGGAGATGCTCCTTCAGGGACCGAGCAAGCAAGCGCTCGATGCGCGCGGAAGCCTTCACTTGCCTCTTGGACCCTTCCGGGTGGCAGACTCGAAGGCGATTCCAACGACGGAGCCAGTCATAGTCCGAAAGGCAGGATCCCAGAAACTCCGAGGGAGGACTTCCCATTCGGACCGATGAACGCTGCCAGCGCCTCCCAACCCCCAACGTCAATCAAGCGTAGACCTGTAATTGCCTTCATTGAGGAACCACAGTATTAAAAATATAAGCGGGACTCGCACACGACTTAGTGTTATGTCTCAAAAGTTGTGATTTTTTTGTGCTGTGGTTGCGTAGCGAGAACCGTATACATCAGCATGGACAGTCTCTCCGATAGTGGTCACCATGGCCTGCTCGCTCCACTGTGTGGTACTGGTCCGCTGCTGACGTCAGTTTATCTTGGTCTAGTAGAGGTCGTATCCATCGGTCAATGGTAGTTAATTCGGCGTGCTTTGTTGGCATTCGGCCATGGTATGTTGGTGGCTGATCAATCTTCACCCTCTCGGTGAAGGCGGGAAGAGATGGTGCAGTCTTCGACTTCCTTGCAAAGTCAAGCCCCCTTTTCGATCTTTCATGGCTCCGGACAGGGTCGGTGGCTAACGTTGCCTTGCCGAGTTCCTAGTTTCCACGTCCACGGTACGAGCCGCGTCCTCATCCGCGTCCACGGCCTCGACCAGGTCCGATAGATGGTGTGGCGCCGTTTTGCCATAGTAGTAGCCCGCGGGAGATCCCCGCTTTTGAAACTAGAGCAATCATGTTGGCAGTGGTGCTGCCTCCGTCGTAGGAAGAATCCTCGATGTTGGTTCTGGTAACTTGCATTGCTGCGGTTTCTGACTCTCCCCCTATTTGACAAAAAGCTTCGGCGGGCGAGACGTAACAACTGAAAGCCGACCTCGCCCACTGACATACCAACATGCCCCCTCGGCTTCTCAGTTGAAGGGTTGTATCATTCCTAAGAACTCATCCCAGTTGGCTTCTGTCTTCATGCCAACGTCGGTCGTCTCCCTCCAGCTCGCGCTGCCCTGAGACGTACTCTTGGGTTGCCCACCGCAGTAGTGGATCCGTGCTCAGCTTGAACCTTCTCACTTGGTCCTTGTGCGCCGTGACCGTCCACCCCGTCGCATGTTTCTGTCACTACCTGTGTTTTTCTCAACTCTGTTATCCTTCCTCATTGGTAGCGACCACGCGGTGTGCGCCCAGGTGGGTGTGTTCGGTCCTCCCTGGCGTCTGCCTGTGACTGGCTCCATCGAGACTACTACCCATAGGTCATCCGCGCCCGACTCCTCGAGCGGCCTGTCTGTGAGCATGGCCTTTTGCAATCTCTCACGCATCTGCGCGGCCAGGCTCTGTTTCCTCTGCGCCTCTGTCATTGTGCCGTGGTACGGTGGTCTTCCGGATGGGGCCTCGTACGGCGTCACACCTGTGCTGGTGTGCGGTGTCGTATTATGCGTGTGACAGACCCCCGGCACCATCCTACCCAGGTCGCGGTGTCCTTCTTGCCACAGAACCCGCTTCTGAGCGCCTTGTGGGAGGCTTCGTTGATGCCGTTCCCTTGCGGCCTATACGTTGCCGTCGTCAGATGGACGCAGCCCAACGCGCTAGCCACCGTCTCATGGAACGCCCTGAAGCTCGTGCCGTTGTCCGTTAGGACCACTCCCGGAATGCCGAACGGTGTCACCCAGCCCCGCAAGAAGATGTGAGCCGTCTGCGCAGCTGTGACCGTGCTCGTTATCCACGCTCCCATGTACCGCGTCGCGTGGTCCATTACAACCAAGAGCCACCAACTCTGCCCATCTAGCTGCATGGGTCCTACGTGATCCAGGCTTACTGTGTCCATCGCGCTCGGATTCTCCAGACTCCCCTTCGGCACGTTGTCCGTCAGCCGAGCTCTCGTTCGAGTCCGGGCACATATCAGGCACTCTCTTACCACTTTCGCAACGCCCTCTGCAAGTCCGGGCCAGTAGAACATGCTGGCTATTCTCTTCCGCGTCTTGAGT